TGAAAGTCTCTGCACGAATTTTTTTTTCAGACATTTCTGGTGCACGAATTTTTTTTTCTTCGTCTATTTTCCCTGCTCGAATTTAATTTCCCCCCCCCCCCAATCACTTTTCTAATGGTCCGCCCCTTATCATCAGCCTTCTACAATGGCTATCTTGTTGCTTTAGCTTTAATTTTCATGATCTCAAAAATACCACAAGGAGAATGCTCGATTAAGCAAGCTTTCTTTCGTATAAATGACAACCAGAGTAGATTATATAGCATAGGCCGCTAAAAAAAGGGTCGTCCGTGCCTTTGCATGTCTTAGAATGCGGACTTTATTAAACCTTTGGGCGTTCATTTTTGTCTTGCAAAAAGCAAAACCAAAGCGAATGCGTCTTTTACAGAAAAGTACAAATTCAGAAAACGATGAATATTCGAGACATCACGAATTTCAAACAGGTCACGTCCGCTCGCGTCATCTGTGTCCCATCCATTTTTTAAACTATCCATGCCTTTCATATGGAAATGTTGTTGTTAATAAACTAGCAATTTAGGCTAAAGCTCTACGCACACCGGCTTGCTCATCAGTTTTACAATGGCTGTCTTACTAAGCATTTGTGCGTTAATTTTCGTCTCACAAATAACACAACCAGGCGAATGCTTGGTTGAGCAAGCTATCTTTCATACAAAGGAGCAAACTTACTTAGCGAATCATGTCATCCAAACAAAACAGGCAGAAACCGAACTAGAGTGTAACATGCATTGCGTCGCAGATGGATCATGTGCATCAGTAAATTATAAAACGTCTGGAATCGGCAAAGGTCTGTGTGAGCTCAACAGTGAAACATTGGAAGAGACATCTGATGCCGATGGAAGTCTGCATAACCCTGAGTTCAACCACCTTTATATAATCGAAAAGGTATGAAAAACACGAGCATTATTCGATATTGTGATATAATTAGGCTATAAAAGCTTAAGATTGCTTAAGCATGTTATAACAGTGTTAGGTGTTAGTGATTTAGATAAGTTTACAAGAAACATAAAACATGTGTTCATCTACATCCAGACATTGATATGATTCAATTCATTTATTCATATCGACCAGTGTCATACATGCATCGATCCTGTTTTACTCATCACAACCTCAAATCACTGTTTTATTTCTGGAAATTTGTGTTTTCCATGCAGGGATATGTTGATATATAGGCAACCAACTCAGATAAATTGTCAATATTAACTAGTACTGGCACTATAGGCGAGAAAACGATCCTCAAGAGAATCAAGTTCTAAATGGTGGATTTTTAGTCTATTTTTTGAAGCATTAGTGTTCTATATCCGAAAAAATCTTTCAGTCAAGAATGCATGCAAACAATTGAGACGGGGAACTCGGGTTAAATCGTTTTGCAACGTTAACACTGAGCAGACATGCAGCTGTTCATTGCATACTCCCTTTGAATAAAAATAATTTTAATAATTAGAGCGAGATTCAAACTTCCCGTTAAATTGCTTATTTAGTGTATAGTTTTTCTCGTTGTTTGTGAATAGATGCAAATGGCACTTTGTGTCAAACAGCATTTGTTGAGCGAAACATAGTGCGCTAAAATAAAGTATAATTAATAATTATCTTATCTACGTTTTCAAGAATCCATGTAGAGTCTTTGAAATATTCAACTGAGACTTTACGTTTTAATGCCTCAATTATTTTGAAGAACTCAACAATTTTCAAGACACTGCATTTTCTTTTGCCTTGACATTTCAGTTCAACAATTTGTGCACCGCAGTCAAAGTTGCTATATAAACACAGACTTTTGTCTGTATGACATACAAACAGACTGATATGTTTGGGGGAACAAAGCTCATTTTGCATATCGCAACAGTTGCGTAAAGATACATGACATGAAATTCATGTTCACAAAATAGGCAAGTATACATGAAAAGCTTTTTTGTGCGGCAATACACTGGCCTTTAAGAACCTATAAATAAATTTGGCAGGCTTGTGCGAGTAGTATTATATAGGCCGAACAACCCTTTTTTGAGGAGTGGCAATTAAGGATTTTGAGGGGGAGTCATTAACATTATTTTCCTCAATGTTGAAAGATCGACTGAATTTTTTTGGTCAAGTGTTGTATACTGATAACTTTGTTATCTCACATTACAATTATAGACTTTCATCCTATCACTTTACATCAATACCGCATGCTCCTATTTCAAACGGGGCTTGGCGAAAGCAAAAATGTAATAACATTATTAGGGCAAAAACATGGAAGCGAGGCACATGCAGTAATTTGGATACCGAGTAGTTCTTCTATCACAGGCCATCCGAGACGCAACTTCACCACCTAAAGTTTGGAAAAGTTTTGTAGACGATTGTTTTTCCATAATAAAAAAGACTAACATATCATCTTTTCATGACACACTAAACTCCATTGACCCGCACATTAACTTTACTATTGAAAACGAAAAGGACGGAAAGATCGCTTTCCTTGACACATTAATTTCTAGAAGGGACGGCTTATTTTCTATTGACGTTTACCGCAAACCCACTCACACAGACTGTTACTTAAACGACTTATCGCACCACGACCAAAAACATAAAATTAGTACTGCAACAACACTTATCAACCGATCCTTGTCATTTCCTACTACTGACGAAAGCAAAGAAAGAGAACTAAATCATGTAACCACAGTTCTGGCATCAAATGGCTATCCAAAGAAATTAATTTCAGGATTGATCAAAAAACGTAAGAACAAAACTGTGGTAAGCCCTGAAGAGTTAGTCCGGTCATTTTTAGAATTAGTCGAAGGAAAGTCGCCACCTGCAGGAATCGCGGTTCTACCTTACATCAAAGGATTAACCGAACCCCTAGTTAAGTTTACAATAAACCAGTGAAAACCCTCGAACGCCAGTTTCCATCTGCAGAACAGAAACCACCAATTGAAGAGCAAAAGAACGTTGTCAACCAAATACCGTGTCAAGATTGTAGTTGGAGCTACATAGGCGAAACCGGAAGATCCCTGAAGACGAGAAAGTCTGAACACGCATGGAATCAAGATCATGTAATTGACTTTGCCAATGCTAAAGTGATAGACATGGGAAATCATAGAAACCTTAAAACCTTAGAGCCTGGCACACTGTACTGACAGACGAAGCTGATAATAACTCTAATACGTTTCCAGCACAACACACAATACTTTTAAGAAAGGAACTCAAGAAACATTAATTAATTAAATATTCATATTACCCATTTGTAACATAGCATAGATTGTCCTAGATTTCATACCACCTACTTAAGTTTAGCATCCTTTGTAGAATCATTTGTATACACCCATCGAAGGCCATATACTGATAGCCGAAAGCTCGTAGAAATAAATATTAAGTCAGAGAACGTTCAATAAATAATGTTTCAACCTGGCTATACGCATCCTCTATTTTTTCAATTATAACTTATGCTTATAAAACTGATAATAATTTTTATTGTTAGTTTTATATCGAGACTAATGTAGCAGTATTAAATTGGACACGTTTTTTATGAGCAGACTTTTGATACCATTTCCTTCTATAGTGTTGTTGCACGATGATCGTGCAATCGATAATAATTTCTTATTGTAAAACTTCTAAAAAAAAGATAAAATTCAGACGTTTATCTTTATAGTTATCCTATCAACCGTGAACATGGCCTAAGCAAGAACGCGAGAACACTGGGCGGACATTTACTATATATAGATGTTTTATACCGCATTCGCGTTTTACATTCGTCCAACTTGTGTCCCACAATGCAAAGTTTTCTACACATAAGATAAAATTTTCTGTCGTATTTTATTAAAAAATTAGTAAAATACAATATCATGTTACAGAAATATAACGCAGGCCTAGGATGCTTTATATCAATACATAATACAAATTATTATACATTGTAGTTGGTAAAAGCAATTTGATTGGCTAAGAGCTTACAGTTAAATCGCTCAATCACGCAACCTACTGAAAATTCAGTTATCTGCTAGCAGATAACTCAGTTATCTGCAAGTGAGCCCGCAATGATTAGCAAGCGGTATCTATTTGCAGTCAAAATACAAGAACCTTCCCACATCCGCAACTTGTTTTGTATTTCTGTAATTTGTTCTATTTTCTGTAGCGATTTTTATCGGCAAATATCGCGGTAAAATTCCCCTTTCTTTCCAATTTATATACGTCAATTTGCAGCAAAGGGGACACCTTTCGTTAGATTCTTTTCATAAAAGTTGCGAACTTTTCATTTTAGTACGTCAAATGATTGCAGTATTCGGTAAGTTTAAATTTTTATAGTATGAACACCCTAGGCGGCGGTTTAAAACCGATTTGTCAGCAAATATCGCTATAAGATCTAAGTTTCGCAACTTGTATGCTAAGAATCTAACGAAAGGTGTATCCATTGCTACAAATTGACGTATATAAAGGAAGGAAAGCGAAATCCTACCGGATCCTAACGCGATATATATGTGCCGATAAAGCGGTAATCGCAACAGAAAATAGAACAAATAACATAAAAACAAAACAAGATGCAGAAGTGAGAAGGTTCTTGTATTTTGACTGTAACACAAACAAATGTATAATAAAACAATTATTGAATTCGGTTTTGGCGATATGCAAAATTATCAAGGTCTCGGTAAGCGTTATCAGCCTCGCCTTCGGCTCGGCTGATAACGCTTACTTCGACCTTGATAATTCCGCATATCACAAAAACATCATCCAATAATTGTTAATTATTTACATCAATTGCAACAGTTAATACGGCGTCTACGGTAATCTATTTATCATCGCTTTGGGAGTTTTCAGATCATGTCAAAAGTTCATTAATTAACATATCACAACAGCTGCATAAAGTTACGTTTCCTTATATAGGAATACACTGATCTATATCCCACCGGGCACACGACGTTGTTTCAACGTTGAAATTTGGTAGAAAAAAGGTTGCGACGTCGACAACCTAATATCTACGTTGCTCTGACGTTGTTTTACAAACATTGGTTCAACAGCTGCCAACAGACGTTGAATTCATGGTTAAATGTACGACGTCGATTTGTGAACCAATCTCAACATTGTTTTAATGTGCATTCAATTGGAAGGTCATTTCCAACGTTGATTCAACGTTGGATAAACGTCATTTTTCCCGTTGGGACACAGGGGCGGCGCTACAGTGTGTGTGTGTGGGGGGGGGGGGTGGAACACCCCCCACCCCCCACTCGTCAGCAAATCGGCAAATTGTTATCTCAGTCGGCAAAACTGGATTGGCTAAAGATAACCACTGAAGAAACCAAAATTGACCTCCTGAATAATTGAATTCAAACCGAATATCACGAATAGCATGCATCAAAGAAACCACACATGCGCAATGCAAATTTTTTCGAATACAGTATCTTCACTTCTGGCAGCTAGTCCAAAAACATAATATTATTGAAATCATAATTAGTTAATTAAAGTTGTTTGGTTGTTGTCGTTGTCGTTGTCGTTGTCGTTGTCGTTGTCGTTGTTGCTTATTACACTTTCTATAAAAGAGGCAATAAAGTCGATTTTCCACTAGCGAATTTTCTCGTACGAAGCGACCTTTTTCCTTTGTCGGTATCACTTATTACGTCAGCAAGACGTGGCAAAATCAGTCCTCGAAAACGAGGTTGGCATTCGGCAATGCCGGGCTAAATGCAAATTTTTGCCCACCTTAATTCAACCAAAGTAAGAATTTTTATGCTGATAGGTTTTAAAATGTCAGCGATGATAGAATTCGATTCGTAGTTCGATTAACTGAACACACAACGGTGTAAGGTTTAAAAACTGACGGGTATTGTGTATTGTGTATATACGTTAGATGTTTGAAGATCAAATTTCGCGCGTCTGGAGTTAAAATTTGGCTCCAACTTTCGAATTTTCCGGCTGGAGGTAACGTT